AGAAAAAGAGAGAAAAGTGTATATTTAGTTTCGTATTTTCGTATTTTAGCGTAGGTTCGTTTTAATCTAAGGTTCTAAGCCAGTATCAGATCAAGATGATACCGAATAACGTTTTACGAATAATGTAGATTTTTATTTGGTCAAAAAATCGACAGCCTCGTAACCCTAATACTCATTGTCGGTAAAAGAAAGCGGGAAACGGAAACGATACGTAATTTAATGAGCGCTGTCGCAGTGATAATCGATGAGTTACTCTGATTACCTACACCTACGGGCCTTATTAGCACGTAAGTCGATACTTAACTAAACTATAGTAGAATACAATGAACTGGTTGTCCTCTGCTCTTTACCGAGGGGGTTTATCGTTCCTTCTTATTGAGTCTTTCGTTAGGCACCGCAGGTCATCGCTTTTACAACCAGTCCTTTATTGGGAATAGTTGCAAGTTACTCGACACCAATTATATTCGAGCGCGAAATTGCTCTCTTTATTGATTTTTCATGATGGTCCTTGTTTATGGCCTATAGAGGTTATCCTTCTACTCACAATCAAAAGATTACCTTTCTTCCAATTTCTCCTAGGACTAGATTACAGACATTAACAAGCTTCTATCATATCGTAGAAAAGATGTTTCTAAGAAAAAAAAATTATCATTCTTTATTGGATTAATTGAAGAGTACCAAGTAAGAATATTTTTTGAGTTGAGAAAATATTTCTTACGCTAATTGCAAAGACCGCCGTATAATAGGAGCAGAGGAAATCCGGTTCCACGAGCGCGTCCAGCGTGACGCTTCAAGCAACGATACACGATTACTTAATTACGCTCTTCTCACGACGAACTTCGCAGGATTTATTGGTTGTTTCGATGGCTATCGGTGATGGTAGTCTATTTTTGGTCGAACCGATAGTTCCGTTCGTGGTAGATTGATTATTCCTCTTTTGATAGAGCGCTCGTTTATCCGCAATGTTAAGCTGGTATTTGAGCAGACATGACACTCGGTCCATCATAATAACCGTGGAGAGTTTACGATACGTTCTACGATCCGTTACTATCGATCTCGTCGAAAATTACGCGCTGTGCTTACACTTATTGATCATATAAACACACACGTATCCACTCACTCACGCACGAGTTTCGCTCGTTTGTACTTATGTTAACGAAAAAAGTCCATCAAACACCACCTGTTTGATCGTTTAGCTTGAACGATGCGATTTTTCTCTTTATCTACTTTTCCTTTTTTTTTTTTTTTTTTTTTTCATTACCCCCGAAGCACCCCGAGAACAGAAAGGTTTATGCGTACCATTTCATTTTCAGAGAAACGAACGAATTCTTTTGAAAAAGAATAAACGTAGATATTTTGGAAATTCATATTTTCTTTTTATATAGAATATAATAAAGAAGATGTATTTTTGTTTTTTTAAATAAAAATGGTAATTTTGAAAAATGACCGTTTCCTTTCTATTCTCCCTCGGCCTTTTCCTGCAACGAATACTTCATTCAGTATATACGTCATTGATTATACAACTTTACGACAGAAATTCTTCCTTTGATTATTTAAGAGAAAGTTTACAAGATCCTCTCTGATAGTAAAATGAAGCTGATAGAACGATTTCTTCATACTTTTTCCTTTTTCCTGTTTTCCTTAAACTTTGTCTATATCTCTATCCCATTCAAATACCACTTGCAAACGATGAATACATATGTTAAAGAAAATATTGTGATTTATTCACAAATCGTGTAAAGATATATATATTAAATCTCTCCATCCGTACTTTCATCGATGAATCGCGTGGACAATCGAACGTCCTGTAAAAAGAAAAAATATTGTTAGAAGATGAATATTTCTATCGTTTGGAATTTTTACTGGTAACAATCACTAGGGAAGAAAACTCGAATTCAAATTTGATATGGAAGTCTTCTATCCTTTAGAAAGATTATCAGTAAAGTGACTATTTTTCTTTGTATCTTATATATATTTATCCTTTAATTAAAAAAAAAAGAAAAAAGAAAGTAGAAAAAAAAGAACGATAGAAAGAAAGGAAACGAATCTCTTGAAATCAGAATAGATTAAAAAGACTAACTATTTTTGACCCAGCCCGTCAGGAGAGAAAAAGAATTCGTGCAGGATGTTGAAGTATGCTTTTTGAAAAAGTGAAAAATGCTAGGCTCATTTATCTGAAATGTACCATTTTCCATTATCCTCTTTAATGATAGTCAGCTCGTGCGTCTGATGAACAATTTATAATCCTCGGGGAAAGAGCGAATGTGATTTCTCTATGTCAAAGCTCATGCACGAATGAGATTTCCAGAAGTTTGGTTGCCCGTACTTCTTCGATATTCTCTTCACAGTAACAGCGTTTCGTGTTTGCACACGAAGGATCAGGAAATGGCGAGGAAACTCCTTTCGAGAGATTTCAGCGAAAACGAGGAGTGCTTTGGCGATCAGTCACCCTAGGATGAAATCTCAGTCGGACGGAAAATAAAACGTTTGACCTAGCCATTTTATTAGGATTTCCTTACCATTTGCAATATTCCAATCTATTTCTCTACATCGTGGATTTTTCATTCATTTTCAGATGTTGCTTGCAATGGAAGCGGAGGAGAATGGTTCGCGTGTATTTTATAAAAAGTATTGAGTATTCAGAACAGCTTGGAAATTAGAATTCGAATACCTAACGAGTAGGCTTGAATTTGAAAATTTTTTGCCTTACGATTTTCTTTCAATTTTCTTACGCAAGAATTTAGTTATTGTAATTGTAATATCACATTAAATGACAATTGAAATGTTGCATATAATTTGTTTTTATTAATTTTCCATTTAATCTTGTATTGTATTAATTTGATATATTTTTCTTATAAAATGTCATGTTAACTATAAGTATTATATACAAGTATTCCGATATTTTTGATAACAGTATATTGCAATTTAATTGTTATTATATATGCCTCCTTTTCGAAAATTCGAAGCGAAGGAAATAATGTTAAACAAAACTACAGGAAATACGATCGCGATATGAGATTGATTTGCAGCAGGATTTGTGCGAATAAAAAAAATTTAATTATTTCAGTTTTTCATCTCAGAGATTAATTTTGTCCATTGCAATGTCAATCGTGTGCCAACAAGAGACAAATTAAGTTAAAAAAAA